ATGAATGTAACTGTACTGTATCCCTAAAATGTACCAATAAATTCAATAAAATTAAAAAAAAAAGATACAATGAGCAGCATGAAGACACAACGTACAAAATAGGCAAAGAACATTGCTAGCCATTCATCTGAAGATTAATATCCAGAATATAGAGCAAACTCAAGAAATTAGCAAAAGAATGAGCAACCCATCAAAAATTGCAAATCATCTCAAAGGAATTATAAATGATTAGTACAATATATGAAAAATGCTCATATATTTTTGTCCTCAGAAAAATGCAAATTGAAACTACATTAAGATTTCACTTGAAATCAGTAAGAATTTCATTTTCAAAAACAAACAAAAAAACAAAATAAAACTACTACTGAAGACTTCTAGTCCAAGGAACATTTATGAAATGATTTTTGGATGTAAATTATTAAAGCTGTTATGGAAGATAGTATGTGGGATCCTCAAAAAAACTAACAGTAGAGCTGCAATAAGATTCAGCTATACTGCCCCTGAGTGTAAACCAACAGAAAATGAAGACAGCACACAATAGACATACATACATCTTTATAGTTATTGTGGCAATATCGACCCTGCTCACTGATAAGGAGTCAAAGAGTACATGGCAGAGGGAAGCACCCAGGAGCAGCCCCTCACTTAATTAAGTTTGCTAGGCTGGGCTTTGCCTGGGTCCTCCATCTGCACCTGCTCTCTAGAAAGCTGCAGGTTCCAGAAGAGCTGCACCAGAGTCCCTTGGGACATGCTGGGAGGTGTTGTACCTAAGAGAGATTTCCTGGTGGGAATGTTTTAGGATGCATTGTGGAAAGAATGGAGCTTAAAGTGCCTGGAATAATGCAGAAGCCATGCTTAACCTAATCTCCCTCTTATAATTGGAGGTGGAAATCGGGTCATCTAATGGAAGAAAAGCAGAGTGAGAGTGGAAAATGGAGACCCAAGCAAATAATAATATGAATCCTTTTAGTCCATTAGTACATCACTGAGCTGTAGTTTTGAATAATGTTGGATCTCTGAGGGAAAAACCCACTGAAGGAACACATCATCATTCCTATGCATCTGCTATAGATTAGTTTACACTAAACAGAGAGTAACAATGGCCTAAGCCCATCACAAATAATTGTGAATAAATCTGAGGTTCCTGAGGAGTGCTCTATTTATTTTTTAAAAAGTAATTTTGTAGCCACAGAAATGTCTTAAGCAGATCATGAAATATTTTTCTGCCTCTAACAGAAACATTTTCTAGTAAGTTGAAACCTAAGGAGCCATAACTTGTTTTGCATTGTTTCTAAACAAGCATATTCTACATAGACTTATTATATCTAAGAAATTATATGCCTTTGTATTCCATTTTGAATGCTTGCAATTTCCCCACATGTTCTCTGTAATGAAGTTTCTCTCAGAAGTAACATATTTTGAGTAGGCAAATTCTGGGCTCTCCTGCTCTGACCTGGGACACCTGGGGACCTGGGCCAGGGCTGAATTACTGAGATGAGACATCTCTGCAGCTGGGCCTCTCCCTGCCCAGCTCCTGCTGATTTGCATGTCCCCCGATCACAGACTTTAATAGGCTGCTAACACCCTGTGCAAGAATCGGTCCAAGTCAGGACACAGCATGGACATGAGGGCCCCCGCTCAGCTCCTGGGGCTCCTGCTGCTCTGGCTCCCAGGTAAAGTAGGACAGCACTGTGTTGCACATTGGTGGTCTATGCTGACTCTTCAGGGAAACCTTCTGACCTGACTAATCTGACAGATTTCTGTTTTTATGTTTCCCATGTCAGGTTCCAGATGTGACATCCAGATGACCCAGTCTCCATCCTCACATTCTGCATCTATAGGAGACACTGTCAGCATCAGGTGCAAGGCCAGTGAGAGCATAGGTAGTTATTTAGCCTGGTATCAACAGAAACCAGGGAAAGCTCCTAAACTCCTGATTTTTGCTGCAAGCAGTTTGGAATCTGGGATCCCACGGAGGTTCAGTGGCAGTGGATCTGGGACAGATTTCACTCTCACCATCAGCAGCCTGGAGCCTGAAGATGTTGGAATTTATTTCTGTCAACAGGATTATAGTACACCTCCCACAGTGATACAAGCCATGACGTAAACCACCCAGGAAAGCAGAAGTGTGAGCCTGGGCTGCACCCTCTGCTACTTCTGATGCCTTCTGCTGCTGAGAGTTTTTCTAAATTGCAGGCTTTCTTTGAAGGACACTGGGTACCATAACTTTTTCTTCATGCCCTGCCCCAGTTCCACAGACATGATATTATCCTGCTGATTAAATAAATGGCTCAGATCAATAAAACTGGTGCATGCAGGTGTCCTCAAGAGTTGGCTTCTTATAGCAAAAGACAAGTTACAAGTTACAGTAGAATTTCCACGTACTCTTTTCTTTAATACAGTAAACTGGTGTCTACATGATTGTCATTATGGGCACTTGCAGTCATATTTCAACAATTATGGGAGGACTCCTAATTGAGCATTACTGGGTTGTGAGGGCTCTGTTCGGAATTACAGTTATAACTCTGTTCACAGATGGTTCTGTTTGAAAACCAAAGTGTTTTGCAAAATTGTGCTTCCTTTTGCAAATTTCCCATGGGGTGGCAAGTGGGACTGTGGCCACTTTCCCCACAGAAACACAAAAGTAGTCATTTTCCCCCAAACGTTAAAAGAAATTGTTTGTAAACCAAGGCATCACCATTTACAGGAAGCCATCTAAGGAAAGGGAAGTCTGAGAAACAAGTCTCCCAACTGATGGTGAACTTGTAGTGAAACAATGACCCATTATGTTCACTATCACTCCAACTCTGAGATTTCTGCAGATATAGGGTGAGCCTACTATTGGGCATGTGCTTTCAAGCATTATTAGCAAGTCTGGTGTCATAGCTAAAAACTTCATGGAAACATACTGTAAACAAAAACACAAAGTTACAGGAATGATTCAATACTACTCTTTTAACAAACAGACCAGGCCCCACCTCCAAACAGAACAATCATATCCATTCCTAATAGCACCACCATAAACCATCCACTTCCAAGTTCCTGAGACTTTGAGATTATTTTCATTGAGGACCTAATGGGGTCTATCAGGAAGTGGGCTGATTTGTGATCATGGCTGGAGGGAGAAAGAGGAAGAAAGACAGCATATGTAGTATATGTATACACAAAAATCATATTTTAATGGCTGAGTAGACCAAATAATGATTAACACATTTGCAAGTGTTATTCTGAGTAGGCTTTGCATGTGGAAAAAAGACCTTTGCAGGTGTTAAATAAGAGTGTTTATGTCAAGTGAAAGATTGTCCTGTGTTTACCACTTGATCCCTAGTGCAATTTCAGATGTTGTCAAAAGAGGAAGACAGGGATATTTAACACACAGTTGAACTAAAAGGACTTTCCTGAATTATTATCTGTGTGAATTTATCACCAGATACATGAGGAAGGCAGGTCACATTCTGAATTTCATCTGTGCCCTGTTGGAGCGATTGAAAAATGTGTGATATGACCCACGTGGCATTTATTCAGGCTCTGTATTAATGAAAGAATCGGTGAAGCCCAAGAGCCCCGCATGCTGCCCCACTTCCCCATGAACTATGCGGTGGCACCAGGCACAGACATGAAAGCACCACCTGTTCTCTTCCTGAGGTGAATGTCGGCTGTGCAGGGGTGATAGGAAGAGAGGAGTCTGCATTATCACCCCAGTCTCCTATGGATCCTGAAGTAATAACAGAGAAGTTCAATATCAAGAACAAACATGAAGGCGTTTTTCACAATTTTCCTCTCATGACTTATTTCAGGTGAAGGCATTTTTGTGTTTGTCAGTTTGTTTGTATTCCAAATTTGCAAAGAACAGAATAGAAACCTGTAGAAATCATTTACACTACCTTGCTCTTTCTATTCAAAAGATTCTTTCTGGAATCTTCCTCTCTGTCATTCATTGGAAGGGTACTTGAATTATTTCTATTTTTACTATGTGCATATTTAACTATGCATATTTTTCAATTTTTTACTATACACATAATGGAAAGGCTGTTGTAAATGACACAAGTATTAATGGGTTTTACCTGGCATGAAGCTGAGGCACCCATGGGACACAGACCCCAGCTGCAGATTGTTTGCCTGAATTCTCTAAAATTTTCTTCTTACACAGATGCAGAAAACCTGCTGTGCTGCTTCCCAGACAAGCAACACTTGAGCTTCCAGTAGCAGGGAAGTTTGCGTTCTGGACTACACTGCTGTAGGGAGGAGCACATATAGGCTGATTTAGTAATAAACATCAATATCCCAGACGCCACCAGGAAGATATGGAATGTGAGATCTGTCTCTGACCCACTGCCTTTGAAGCTGTCTGATACCCAGGACTAGCAGTTTGATATCTTATGCATTAGTGTGAATCAAAATTGCAGTAGATATTTGTATCACCTGCTTGAGTCCCTGACTAGATCTGTGGAAGATGGTGTTCAGCTCTCTGGAATGATGGACAGGGAGAGAGTGGAGTCTGGAACATCACAGTATCCACAGTGGATTCTAAAATAATCAGCCGGAAATATCACTCATCTTAAAAAAGTGGGAAGAATGGGGGAAAGGTAATAAGGGAAAAGAAAATAATAGGAGAAAATGAAAAAATGGAAATAAAGTGTTCATAAATGGGCAGAGCAAGAGGGGGTGAAGGGAGGCCAGAGACAAGGGCAAGAAATGAGAACCAAGACCAGTCATACAAAGGTACAAAATCCCAATAAGGAATTTAACTGTACTGTATACCTAATATATACCAATAAACTCAATGAGGAAAATAATTATAATTGCAAAATGATGGAATGAAATTGTCTAAATTGAACTCCAGATTTGAATAAGAAAACTAATAAGGAAAGTGGGTAAATATCACACAAGAGCACTTTTCCTTGTAAGAGCTGTGCTATATTTATTTTGAAACAGTTGCCAGCAAGAGTAGATTGGAGGCATTAACTGTGGCACCTTCACATCCTACAACACTGCAGAGAAGTGAAAATGAACTGCAGAAGAATTACACTCGGCATTTGGATACTTGTCTCAGTCAGGATGCTGAGTCCCAGAGGACAGAAACCAAGGAATACACACGAGTGTTTCTATTAGCAGTGAAGTTCAGGACCCAGCAGGACCAAAGGCACAGTTGCTAATCAGGATGCCCTTAGTGGAGGGCGGGCAGCAGGAATGGGGAGCTCAAGCCTTTGCCAGGGCTCTGGGTGCTGAAGGTGACCCCATTTCCGCACCTGTGTGGGGTCACATGGAGGCTCCCTGGTGAGTACGCAGTGCGCTCCACATGCCTGGTTCTGCACTGCCTTTGTACTGAGCATGGTAGAGTAACAGGAATAATAGAATCATCATAAACAATGTAATATTCAATATAAGCTTTTATAAATAACATGAGACTGTATCTACCCCTCAGTGTATGTTTGATTTTCCCTAGGAGTCTAACAAGAATGCAAACATTCAATGTTTCTTTGCCCCTATATTCAGATAAATTTCAGAAATAAATGTAGTAGTGAAATATGTGGAGTCAGATGGCGTGGTGTTTAAAATAGTGAGAAACAAATGCCACTGAGGTAAATGAGTCATTTTTAGAGTAACTCCACACAGTGGGTTCACAGCATGTCATAATCCCAGGCTGCTCCTGGCTAGCACGGCACAGCCATCTTCCATCCCCGGAGCCGCTCACCCTCCCCAGGGTCAGTGTGCACTGGTGGAGCAGGGCTCCTCTCTCCACTGACAGCTGGGTTTGCGGATTGCTTCATTCTTTAGTCTAGGCCATCTTTGGAATTTTGTCTTTCCTGGTGCTCAGAGCTCTTGTTCTCTTTCTTCTTCCCAAGTCGTTTTCCAGTTTTCTTAATTCCAGATTGTGGTGAGGCCGTAACTGCTGCCTTCAGCTGCTCTGCCATGTTGGGCTGTAAACAGCACTTGAAAAAAGTCTATAATAACCAGTGTAAGTATTTGTCCTTCAGTCTATTAAATAAGAAACCTTCCTAGTTTTTAAAATTTAGAGAAAACGAAGATCTTCTTGGACTCTTAACTTCAAAAATTGTCTTAAAAGTGAAAACCTGCTGTTCATGTGGTGGTGTAAAGTCATTTTAACTTTCATATGAAGCCAATGCCATTGTCTTTAGGGCACCGTATCTGTCACAGAATAGTACGGGTTTCTCAGGCTTTCTCTGCAATGAGAAGAAAAATGAATGAACTAAAGTTGAAGGCTGGATGTTCTCCATCATGAATAAGAACCTCTGCAATGTCTCCTCACATGTAGGGGTGTAAGGTAGGTGTTGCAGTGCTTTTGGAACTGAGCAGATGGACACTGAGGCAAGGTCAGTCATTTGTCTGCTCTCTGAGCTTTAATCTGGGTTCCATCTTCACATATTCATAGTCCAGCTCTTGATGATATTTATAGAATTATTTAGAAGCTATTTACTCAGAAGAGACCAAGAGCACACCCATTACAACTAGGCCAGTGTAATGCCTTTAGATGTCCCCCGAAGTCTTCATGTGTTTTTGGAGGTGCCTAAATCAAGAGTGTGTGAAAGATTCATGTTGGGGCTAGGTCCAGGGGCACTAGGGTTAAGGATGTGAGTGCTATCCACCCTCAGTAATCTTAGTAAGATAAAAGGACCAGAAAGATACAGTTAAGGTCCCCTTGGTGCTTTTGCTACCATGTGGGCACCATGAAATATTTCTCTTCTGCAAAGCACCTTGTCCATGTGCCCCCCTGCCTTGGAGCCAGCTGATTTATTTGTTTGTTTGTTTGATTTTTGGTACCAGAGTTCGAATTTGAGACCTTGAGCTTGTGAGGCAGGCAGCAGAACCACTGAGCTAAATCCCTGGCCTGGCCCAGAGTAAGCCGATTATGGACTGAAACCTCTGCGTAAGTTAAATAAACTTTTTCCCCTTTAACTTTGACAGTAGTGTATTTTGTCTCTGCAAGGAGCAAAAAGTAAGTAACAGCCACAATTTCTCTTGCTTTTAGAAAAGTATTGCTTTCTTTTTCTGACAGTGATTGCAAGCTGAAATGTACAGGGTTTGCTAGAAAATTGAGTATCGCTTTAAATTGAGGAAAACATGTGTTACAACAAATATACATTGTCTTTAACACTCCTG